CCCCCCCCCCCCCCGTCCCCCCGATGGGGTCTCTCCCCGCTCGCCGCCCTTGTCAGTGCACTCGCACATATATACCCACATTCATACTTCCACACATGCACATGCGCGCGCGGGAGCATGCACCCGGGGCACGCTCACCATGCGGGACTCCGGGCACCTGACTCAGGTGCAATCGCCTCAGCTCCACGCAGGCATTTGACAGGACTCGGGAAAATCTACTCTCTATGGCTGATGGTGGCCGTCGGGGATGGCGGTGGCGGTCGCCGCCGGGCGGGGATGCTGGAAGCATACAAGGTGCGTGTTGTCCTCCCTTTGCCCCTTGTGTTGCCCCCCGTCGGGCATGCGGTCGGGGGATAGGGAGACTGTGTCGTCATTGTGTCCATCGGGCTCGTGGTCGCCGCCCGGACCATGGCCGTTGTCATGGCCACGGGTGTAGTTGTTGGTGTTGTCGTCGTCATCGTCGTCATCATCGGCGCTATCTCCGTCAGAGGAAGTGCCATCGTCCTCGAAGGCCAGATGGAAGGCCTCCGACGCGGCGTGCCGGGTGTCCAGGCAGTCGGACTGCCCGTCGGTGGCTGGCAGGTCGCCGCTAAGTGTGGTGATGGTGATGTGCCGGGTGCTTAGCAGGCCTGGAGGGATATCCCGGGGAGAAAGGGCGAAGGAAAGGGGGAGGGCAGGCCGAGCCGGTCGCTTGGTCAGCATGGGGCACAGGAGACAGGGAGCAAGATGGCAAGAGGGCAGGAGAGTAGGAGCGCAGGATCGATCGATGCTGAGTGGGGCATGTGCGCATGCACACAACCATGCAGGGTGCCCGGGATTTCCCACCCCGTGCCAGGAGATTGGGGGGGGGGGGGGGGGGTGCTCAAAAAAGGGAGAGGGGCGCACCAATGCAAAGATCGCATATCCGCTGCGGCGAGTTCCCAAAGCCCGGCAGGTAAAACCGGTGCGGCGAGCAGGGGCCACACACAACCCGACCGCACTTCCGGCAGTGGTGCTGCAGGCCCAAGAGAAAGGAAGGGGACAGCAGGAGCGCGAGGTTTTGGCCAAGCAGGAGGCACGTGTGTGCGTGTGTGTGTGTGTGTGTGTGTGAGGGGGGGAGGTGGGAGGGGAAAAGGGCGAGGCGACAGGGGCAGAGGGAGGGGAGGATGGCGCGCATTCCCACTTCAAGGGCGCGATCGGCATCACCCCGGGGACCGGTGGACAGGTGCGTACCCGCCGACGAAAGAGAGTGAAGCGCGTGGTTCGACAGACCATGCAGTTGCCGGCCAGCTTGTCGGGCACCCACACCGCGGCGAGGGACACCGAACCGCCCATGCGCTCCGGAAGGGTGAAATGCGTCAGGGCCCCGAGCCAGGCGTCTCGCTCGTCGGCCGAGGCGCAGAAGACCTGGAAGGATCGCCCGGGGGTGCTGATTTGGAAGCCGAATTGCAAATCGGCTGCATCCGCGACCAAATGGGCCACACGTGGCGGGCAGCAACAAGGTGAGGGGGCCATCCATGCGCGTTTGTGTGCATATGTGCGTGTGCATATGTGCGTGTGCATATGTGCGTGTGCATATGTGCGTGTGCAACGCACCGTGGCCAGTCACCGGCTTGACGACCATCGCATGGTACGACAGGAGGACCCCGTTGACGCAGCGCAGTGGAAGGAGGGGCGTGCTGGCAGGGGGGGCATGGGCCTTGCCAGCGCCATCGGCTCCCAGCTCCGATGGCCCTGCCTGCCCGGTGATGGTGCCTCCGCGCCCGGAGATGATGGTTCCATAGACCAGGGCATCGTTGAAGAGCACAAAGTGCCGGCACTTGGGCTGCTTACGGCACTGCTTCAGCAGCGGGCCATCCATGAGGAACACCCGCCCGGGGGAGGTTGAAATCTGTCCCGGCGAGGGGGGAGGGGGGAAGTCAGCGAAAATGTGGCAGCACGCGCGCCCATGCCCAGGGTGGAGGGGGCGGCGGCGGCGGCGGCAGTGGGGGGGGGGGGGACCCGCAGACGCACATCGAGGTCCAAGAAGGCCGCCTGGGCAAGGCCCAGTAGATGGGTGTTGGCCGGGG